GCTCCCTTTGCCAGAACCAGCCTGGCAATACCACAGACCTGTAAGAGAAGCTTGGATTGGAAGCACTAACAAAGGAACCTACCCAGGGTCATGCGAAGAAGAATGAAGCTGAACTCCATGGGTAGCTGCGGGCTGTGCCCTGGAGCCTTGCCTGTTTGCCCCGAAAGCCAGATCTGAGATGCTCAAATCCAGATATCTTGCCGGACCAGAAATTGGTAAAGACAATACTAGTACTGGCTGCTCATCCATTCTTTCATTACTTCCTCCACCACCACACCCCAAAATCTCAGGGGGGATTGATTTCAACCTCAGGATGCTGCTTCCTGCTAGTGTAACTGCTTTCTGGGGGTTTCATGAGGAAATTCTGACCAGAGCATCTGCTGGGCAGGGTGGGGGAAGAAGGGAGATGCCAAAATGGCAATCTTCCAATCTAGGGCTCACCCCTTCTCCGTGCAAATTATTTACCTGCGTGCACACAACCACTCCCACCAAAGGAAAGAAAATGTAGCTGACAACATACACCACCTGAAACAGAATTGTCAGAATATCCTCCTTCTTTTGATCCTCACCCCACTCCACCCCCGCCCCCATGTAAGAATGCAAGTACCATTCTTTCTGTATAAGCTGTGCAAAGCCAGGCAGCCTAGAGATTTGGCCCATAGGCCAAGGTTTGCTCATTCCTGATGAGACTATATTGTCTAACATTTGGAGGCTGTCTTAGGCAGAGGAATGCATTTGCTGATGCTCACTTTCTTTTGAATAGGAAATACCATCACGGGGCTAAAAACCACATATGGAAGAATCTTCTTCTCCAGCATTTGTGCCCGTCCCATTCCCTTGCTCGCCCTGCTTTCCCTCCCTAGGCAACCATTTCAATAAACTTCTTGCGTTTCCTTAAGGTTATGGCAATAGCAGCAAATATGTGTTCACATTTCCACCCTTTCCTACATACATGCAGCTGCTGCCCGCTGCCCTTCACCTTGTCCCTTTCCCTCGCTGCCCTCAGGGAGATTTCCTGTCTGCCACAGAGACACAGAGAAGGCCTCCCTCCCTAAACAGATGTATTCCATTTGGAGGTGTCATTGCTTATTTCATGAGTCCACTCTACACGGATACTTGGGTTATTTCCAATCCAATTCAGAATAATGTGGCAATAAAACAATTTCCCAGAAATTGCTCTGGGTGTATCTGTGTGCCTTCATAGAGCAAATTTCTAGAAAAGGGGTCACTGAGCCAAAGGACAAACACATTCATGATGTTGATGGACACGCCCATTGGCTCTCTGTGGACATTTTTTTAAAATAATATATTTTATTGATTTTTTACAGAGAGGAAGGGCGAGGCATAGAAAGTCAGAAACATAGATGAGATAGTAATATCCATCAGCTACTTCCTGCACAACCCCCTCTGGGGATGTGCCCGCATCCAAGGTACATGCCCTTGACCAGAATCGAACCTAGGACCTTTCTGTCCACAGGCTGACGCTCTATCTACTGAGCCAAACCGGTTTTGGCCTCTGTGGGCACTTTGCCCTCCCACAGCACCCATCCCCTTCCCCCACAGCCTTGCTGACAGGGAAGGCTGTCTGACTTTTGGATTTTTATCTATTCTGGTACATACAAATGATATTTCAGTGGAGTTTTAATTTGCATTTATCTTATTGTGAGTGCCCATGGACAGGAGTAGTAAGTGCCAGTGGACAGGCTGAGTCTTTGAAGTATGAATGTTTAAAATTTGTTTCTGAACACCAACAATGCTGAAAGCACTTTTCATCTGAGAACATCCATCCTATGTAAAATTGAACCCTCTTTCACCCACTTGCCCAAAACCAATTCCAGCATGTAATAATTACAAGAGTTCCATCAATATTTACAAGAGTTGATGGGACTTGGGAGGCACAACAAGGGCTGAGCCACATATATAGTTTTACCTGATGGAACAGCTAAACGGCACTTCCCCCAAACCTGAATAGGATTGCTTGCTGCCAGACAGCTCAGAGTATCTTAAATCTGCAAATTATGGCCTCCTTTGGCCAAACACATGAACAGCTGTAGGCTATTCCCCAAACTGACAATACTTCTGTACCTTACCCTTTGAAACCTTACCCTTTGTATGTCTCCACCTTGCCTTAGGACATATTGTGTTAATAAATACCATGGGGTCCTTAGATAAAGAGTAGTTTTCAGTTCCTTTAACTGAAGCTCCTCTAATCCCCAATTGTAGAGGGCCCCCAGGGAATGCACATAGATATTCTTTACATTGATGTCAGCTAGTCCGAGGTGACTGGCACAGCAGATTCCTGGTATTGACTCTCACTCCATAGATGAAAAGGACTCCCAAATGGCGGGATTCTTATCAGTACTGACTTCTTATCTTTATCCTTGTGCTGGGAATGAGGGAATGAATAGGACCTGGCACACCCAAAATGCCTTTGATCCTAAGCTTTTCAGGGAAACCCACCTTTATTCATTTAGAAGTAAATAAATATGCTGCATGTTGTCATCTGTCTCTCCAGCAGAAAAGGGCGGCGGCCCACCTGGAACCCAGCTTTGAATCTATTTCTGTGTAGGCTCTCTTTATTTCATATATTACTCAATCCCAGGCCGCCTCTACCAAGAACCTGTTTCATCTATCTTCCAGCGATGGACGCGCAGAAGGGATATCCCTGCCAACTAAGGCTCCCACACACAATGCCTTTCAAAATTATCTTTTGTTTCTTGGATTCCTTTTTAATCATCTATACATCAGCTCCTTTCTCCAGAATGCTGAACCCTTCATAATGCTGGGACAAGAATCCCAGCACCTATTTTTTTTTGCCATTCCTTCTCCATCTCTGTTGCTTCTGGTCCTTGCATTATTCCCACCCAACAGGCTGGCTATATAATTTTTGTGTGTTTTGTTTATTTTTTGTCCTTCTCCACTACAAAGACACACCTTGAGTACAGGTGGTTTGTTTTGTCCCCTGGTGTATTCCAAGTGCTTAAGATTAGTCCTTAGGTGAAGGATGCTGTCAAGAGACCAAATCATACACTTTGAATTCTTGTTGGGAAACCCTGAAAGGTTGTGACAAGAGTGGCCATGTGGGCTGCCAGCAGAGTCTGAGAGTGCTGTGGCCTGGATGCAGTGCCAGGGCCCCCCAGGATTGGGGCTGTCGGGGAGGCAGTTTGCCTATTGCAGACATGACTATATTGCAATACTGCGGTGCTCCACAAAAGATAAGGTTTATCCTATTCCCGGACTTAGGTTAAAGCAAATAGCTTTGAGAGTGAAAATCCCTGGTGGACAGAGATGCCCAGAAGGTGATGGGTCTGCTAGGCTAAATCTCACCAACAGAGTGGCTTAACTGGTGGGATGTGTTGCTTCACCATACTTGAGGCCAGAAGTCTGAGATCAAGGTGTGAACGTGGCCAGTTCCTCTGAGGGCTCTGAGAGAGAATCTGATCCATCCTCTCCCCTCACCGCCGAGGTTTCCCACCACCTTCAGCGTTTCTTGGCTTATAGAAGCATGGCCGATCTCAGCCTACATCCTCACATGGTGTCCTCTCTGCGTGTGTCTGAGCCCAAATCTCCCCATTTTGTAAAGACACCAGTACTATAATAGTTAATTCGGCCTAATAATTTCATCTTAACCAGTCACATCTTCAAATGCCCTGTTTTCCAATAAGATTACACTCCGAGATACTAGAAGTTACGACTTGGCCAGGGGGGCTCAGTGCACCCTCACACAGGTCTAGCATTTGCACTAAATTGCATCTCCAAGATGAATGCGGCCTCGAAGGCTGTTAGCACAGACGAGGCTCTGCTGCGGTCACCAGCAACCTCAGTGACCAGTGACGGAAAACAACACGTCCTTCTCCCTCAGTCCCGGGAGGGTCTGTGGGTCTCCCCCGGGCGGGTGTTCTCCTGCCCTGACTCAGGGATCCAACCTGCTGCCTCCTCTGGTCCCAGCATGAGGGATCGGGAAAGGTCCCTCGGTACCACTGCTTGGATGCTCTAACCGGAACCAGGCCAGGTGGAGTGTTTATGAGCACCAGCCTCTGCTACACTGGCCTGCTGTCAGGGAGTGTTTACCAAAGGCCCATGCCACTCTCTGGAGGCACTCTCACCCTGTGTGCATACCCAACTCCCATCCTTCCCAAGGGGGGCAGCTATTTAAGGGGAGCTGGAGTTCAGAGTACACAAGACCAGCACTTGGAGCTATCAACGCCGGCGTTCTCTGAGAGGTAACACCCCAAAATTCATGCCCTGTCAGGGGAATGGGTCCTGCTCAGTGGCTGCCTTTAAGAGCGGCAGTGCTGTGTATATGTGTCCATGGGTATTCATGCATGTGTATGTTGCACATGCATGCACATGATTTTGGGGGATGTGCACAAATGTGCTGTTTGGGTATGTGAGTGATTGTATGAAAGGTCTGCATTAGCGGGTGAGCTCAGGAGTGTATATGCATGCATATGTGCGTGACTGTATCTGCATTTGCGCATGTGTATATGTGTAAGGGGTTAGAATGTCTTGTAAAGAGAAGGTGCTATGCTTTAGTTCTTTGGGGGAAAATTAGAGATTGGACTTCATAAATGGAAGTCCCAAGACCTGGATCCGGTTGGAACAAGTAAGCTATGTGTAATGGGTGGTGGGGAGAGGTGAACAACCTATGACCTTGGGAATCTCTGAATTGGTTGCAACCTCCAGGAACTCTCAATCTGATGGGGAGCACGGATATCTCCCAAGTGTACCATGTGTGGGGTCTCCTTGGGTCTGAGGCCTGCATGTGTGTGAAAACAGTCAAACAGAGCTGGCAAGGGTCAGGAGGCCCCATGTGTGCACACTCCTTGTATGCTCATGTGTGAGAAACTAGTCATCCTAGATCGAGGGCATGTCTGTGAGTTCCCTTGAAGGTTCCTTTGTCCAGGGCTGCTGAGCAGGGGTCAGGGCAGAAGCTGGGACCACCTGGGAGAGGAGTATAGGCCAATACATCTGCATTTCTCACGCAGTGAACTATCCCCATGAAGACCCTTCTGTTGGTGGCGTTGGCCATGGCCTTTGGTAAGAGCAAACCCTGACCTCTGGCCACAAGGGGACAGCCCAAGTTGAAAGCAGCCTTAGCTCACCTTTCCTTCCCTTTCCACAGGTCCTCTCTTTCAGTGGGTGGGAGAGAGGCCCTGTGGGAGGGTGAAGAGCAGAGAGGGACAGAGAAGGAGGACACAAGGCCCCCGGCCCCATCATCAGGCGATGTCTTTCCAGGCCCACTGCAGACCCACGGGAACTTGCTGGATTTCCAGGAAATGATCCAGTTTACCACAGGAAAGAATGCTATGTCCAATTATGCCTTCTATGGTTGCTACTGTGGCTACGGCGGCCGAGGAACCCCCAAGGATGCAACAGATTGGTGAGGCCATCCCAGCCCTCCTCTCCCTCTGCCCACTCGTGGCCCCCGCAGGGCTAGTAGCTGCCAGGGTACTAGCAGCTACATCATCACAGAACCCTAGAAGGTCCCAGCTGGAAAAGCATCCAGCATGTTGGAAACTCTGCTATAGACCATTGCAAGGTCATTGGGTCTCTGCCCAGGGCCAAGGGGCCAGACCACGGGGGACCGGGCTCCCTGGAGCTGTGGGGAAGCTGCCCCAATCACCTATCCTTGCCACAGGTGCTGTGCTGCACATGACTGTTGCTACAGACGCCTGGAGAAGCAGGAATGTGGCACCAAGAAGCTGAAGTATAACGTTACTTTCTCAGAGGGCCAAATCATCTGCGGTAAGGACATCCTACAACTTCACCCTGTCTCCTTGGTTTCCCTTATTGAGTGTCTGCTGTGCCAGGCAGTGAGCTGAGCACCAGAGATAGAAATACAAAGGGATGCCCCGCCCTGTTTAGCTCATTGGGTAGAGCACCAGCAGTGGGTTCAATTCTAGCAGCACCTACCTCTGTGCAGGCTGGATCCCTATCCCCCAGATGGGTGTGTACTGGAGGCAACCAATCCGTATGTTTCTTTCACATTGACTTGTGTCTCTCCCTGTGTGTCTCTCCCCTTCCCTTCCAATCTCTAAAAATCAATGGGAAAATATCCTCAGGTGAGGATTAAAAAAAGAGGGGGGGGGGGGAAGAAATACAAAGGGACCACGTCCCTGCCTCTGGGAGCTTGTGGGTGAGTGGGAAGTAAAGAAAAGGAAAGCACTAGTTGGGAGACTCCAATAGGAAGTTAGCCAAAGGCCAGGGCCCTGACCAGGAAGGCTCCTGACCTCCAAGCTGAATCTTTAAGGCTGTGCTAGCACCAGGGTACAGGAGGGCTGGGGGCATTCCTACAGCAGGGTCAACAGGCCCCAAGGGAGCTGGAACCCTTCTGTGAGCCTGAAGGCGAAATGATGTTGAAAGAACAGGGAGGGGCCAGGCCAAACCCAAGGCCATACTGTATTTAGATTTTGTCCTAGAGCAGTAGTGAGCTCTTGAGCAAAGGAGTGGCATGAACAGGTGGAGACCAATGAAACTGGGGGGTGGGGTAGCAGTGAGAAGACCATTGCCATTGGACATATGACAATGGTAGTCTTGATGGGAAGGGCAGAGAGTGACCTATCAGGTGGAATCAGCAGAGCTGATTGGGTAGAGGGATAGGGAGCTGTTGGGTGGGTGTATGGTCCCGTGGATATAACAGGAAGTCGTCCAGGTGGGTGAAGGGAGGAGGAGTTCTATATAGACACGTTTAAGAGGCTTCCAGAACACCCAGGGAGCCACGAAGCAGGCGGCTGGATGTAGGGATGGGTAGCTCCAGGGAAGAGTCTGGATGCGCCACGGGTTCAGGAATCACAGCAGAGAACTGAGAGTGGGATATGTTCACCCATTTGATGTCTAAAGGCCCAAAAGAAGAGAGGAGGGCTTGTCAGAGAGGGAGAGGAGAGCTGAGAGAGAAGGTCAAAGAATGGACAGCAGCCACTTAACACCAAGTCTCCAGGATAAGGGCTGACAAGGCTCCTCGGATTTAGAGGCAGGAAGACCACTGAGGACCTCACTGGGCTGTTGCCATGGAGTGTGAGGGCAAATCCAGATGGGGTGAGGGGGTGGGGGGAGAAAGGGAGAGCAGGACATGAAGCCAAGACATCCCGGAGCATGTTTGGCTCTGAAGGGGAGGAGAGAGCTGGGTGGTCAATGAAAGGGTTTGCCCAGTGCCCCCAGACAGCAGACCCGCTGGTGGGATTTTGAGAATATATTGTCCCCAACTCTTTAATGATGTCTCCCTGTCATGACCTCTCCATAGGGCCATGTATTTTAGGCTTTGGGTTGTGAGAAGTAAATGCCCAACTCCAAGAGGCTTGGATAATGGGGAAGTCTGACTGGTCTGGCAGAGGGCAGTGCTAGGGTGGGGCATCTTTTCAACCATGTGGTTAGGGACACAGCCTTTTCCCCACCTTCTGCTCCCCGACCTTGGGCCATGTGATGCCAAGATGCCTGGTGCCACTCCAACATCATGGCCTTTCCCTATAGATGAGGCTTCCCCCCTTGGGCATCTCTATCTGGGGGAGGAAATTAGTCCTTCCCACAGCCCCCAGGAGACACTTCCCCTGGGGCTCATTGGCCAGAACAAGGTCACGTGCTCCCAGAGACCAATCACTGAAAGGAAAAGGGGACGAGCATGACTGCTTTACACCAATCACAAGCCATTCCTAGGCCCTAGGGGCTGGGGCTTTGCTCCTGGACACAGCTGTTGGGAAGAAGAAAGAGACAGTGGCTGTCAGGAGGAGTCTCCCAGTGCTGGGGGCTGTGTCCCCATCAGACTGGGCGCTAGCTTCCAAGGACAGGAGCTCTGTCTTCCCATCAGACATACCCGGATCCTAGGTGTTTGCCTCGGACTAGGCGCCTCTGGAGGACAGGGGCGGTGTATTTCCAACAGGCTCCATCAGGTATTACCAAATCCTCAGCCAGTTCTATTATATTTTCTTGTGATTTCAGGCGATCAGGATTACTGTCCCAGGCAGGTGTGTGAATGTGATAAAACAGCTGCCACCTGTTTTGCGAGTAACCGGAACACCTACAAGAGACGATACCAGTTCTACTCCAACATGCTTTGCCGTGGGAGGGGCCCCCAATGCTGAGGGTCCCACACCCTGGAAGCCTTGCTGCCCACACGGAGTTTCTCTCTCTGCCCCCTCTCACCCCCACCCCCACTCCCGCTAGTTCTCAGAAACGAAGGAAACACCCCTCCACCAAGGAGCCCCTTGACCCCCAGAGAGAAGCCTTTCTTCCAGAATGGGAAGCCCCAGGCCTGTGGCCTGTGCCTCTCCCCTCTTCCTTGGGGGCAGGAGGTGTCCCCTCCCCACTGTTCTCCGTGTCCCGCTTCCTGCTTTGCGTGGTGGCCACACGCCCAGGTTTCTTCTAAATAAAGCAATTAGTTCATTGGCAAACTGTGTGTGTGCATATGTGTGTATGTATGTGTGAGTGTGCATATGTGTGCATACGTGTCTGCCTTGCATGTGTGTGAGAATATGTGTGTGTGTGTGTGTGTGTGTGAGAGAGAGAGAGAGAGAGAGAGAGAGAGAGAGAGAGAGAATGGGTGTCTATGTGAGTGTGTGTGTATGTGTGTGTGAGTGTGTCTATGAGTGTGTATATGGGTGTGTGTAAAAGAGTGTGTATATTAGTGTGTGTGTGAGTTTGGGTGTCTGTGTATGAGTGTGTGTGAATGTATGATTATGAGTGTGAATGTGTGTTTGTGAATGTGTGCATGTGAGTGTGTGCAAGTGTGAATGTGTGTATGTGCGTGTGTTGTGTACGTTTGAGTGTGTGTGTATGTGTGTGTGTGTGTGTGTGTGTGTGCATGCCGTGTTGTGGGAACAAACTGGTACAGGCAATGTAGTGTCTGGGGTTATAAACACGGACTCAGGTCAGACGGGCTGAGTCAAATCCGCCAGCACCACGTCCCTGAGCCTTTCCCCCTCGTCTCACTGGTAACCGCTTTGGGCTATTGGAGAAGTGAGAGCGGTGCCAGCGCCGGTGAAGCCGGCTGTGGCTGCTCCTTCCCGGGGCCAGAGCCACTCCTGCTGGCCTCCTGGGGGAACAGCATTCACACCTCCACGCGCCATATTCTCCTGCGATGCCAGCGGGGGAGGCGGGCAGGGATTGCTGGCCAGCAATGGACCCAAGGCATTACCCCCTCCCGGGGCGGCTTCTGGGCTGCGAGTCCCGCAGGCCCTGTTCAGAAGGGTATTGCACCCCGTTGCATGCTGTGTCCTGGCCATCTTGAAATTCAGCATAACCTAGGGCCACGCTTTTTATTCTGCACTGAGACCCATAAATGGCAGAGCGGCTTGGGACTGGCCCTCCTGTCACCCAGGTTCCGCTGGGATAGTCCCACCCGGGCCATCACCATCAGGGCAGCTGGCGTGGGTCCCTGCCTGGGGGCGCAGGTGGGAGCTGGGCCTTAACCCAGGCTTGCCCAGAGTGGGTACCTTCTGTCATTCACCTCCAGGAAGGGCTGCCTTTTGTAATTCAGCATAAAGACGCTTCCTTTGCTGGCGGGAGCCCTGCTGGTGTCCACAGGCACTCGCAATAAGAGAAATGCAAATTAAAACTCCACTGAAATATCATTTGTATGTATCAGAATAGATAAAAATCCAAAAGCCTGTTGGCAAGGCTGTGGGGGGAGGGGTACGGGTGCTGGGGAGGGCAAAATGCCTACAGAGGGACAATTGGCATGTCCATCAACATCATGAATGTGTTTGTCCTATGGATGTCTTATTTTCAGGGAAACACAGTAATATTGTCTTTACCAGTTCCTCGCCGGGCAAGGTATCTGGACTTGGACATCTCAGTTCTGACTTGCTGGGCAAAGAGGCAAGGCTCCAGGGCACAGCTTGCAGCCACCCACAGGGTTCAGCTTCATTCTTCCTCACAGGACCCTGCATAGGTTCCTTTGTCAGTGCTTCCAATCCAAGCTTCTCTCACAGATCTCTGGTATGGCCAGGCTGGTTCTGGCAAAGGGAGCCATTGAACCTAGGCCAGTTTGCAATCTCAACAGAAGAAAAGGAAATTATAAAAAGGTGGGCAAAATAGGTTTACAATTGTGAGTATGGAAAACAGTTTATTCTTGTATTATTACTTATTAATTGTTATATTATTTTCCATGGGAACAACTGTAAACCTACTTTTGCCCACCCCTGTAGAGTGTCATTATCTTGTGTATAATGTAAAAGCACGCACACATATATCTAAATAAACAGATGAAGGATAAACTGGTAGTGGAGAAGAAAGATAAAGGGGAAAAAAGGGATAAAATACAATAGAGGCTTGTACAAACAAATGGTGACTGTGTTTTATGAGGAGAAAGTGTGGTGCAATTGGTTAAGTAATGAGTCAATTATAAATGCATTTATCCTTTGACTCAGCAACTCACTTCAGAAAAAATACACTAATATAAGAGAAACATTCAAATTGACCATACCTCCATGACGACCATTGGCCAATCAGGAGTGGGTATGCAAATTAACCCAACATAGATGGTTATTTTGCATACATGGGCACTGGCACCGAGCAGCCAGGCAAGGTGGGACACCTACTATGAGGGGGAGGGCACAGGGAGCTACAGGAGCAATGCTCCAGTTGGGATCAAGGACTTACAGGCTCCCAGGGGGCCAGGAGTGAAGCCATGGAAAGGAAGGCCTATTCGTACACAAATCTTTGTGCAACAAGACTCTAGTCTATATATATAAAAGCCTAAGTGTCTGGTCAGCCATCCAACCAATAGCTGTGATGTGCACTGACCACCAGAGGGCATATGCTCATTGTAGGAGCTGCCATGATGCACACTGGCCATTTAAAAATAAATGGCACTACAGACCTGGTGCTGACAAACCAACACTCAGTTTCCCCCAGTTGGCACATGGGCCCCATCACCACCCCAGAGTGACACCCCACCAAATCACAGCCAATGTTGCTGAAACCCCATGGTGCAAAATGCGGCCCACAGTCCAGCCCACCCTGGAAAGGGTCACTGTGGGCATTGGGTAATGACATCACATAACAATACCTGGCTTCCTTTCCCTAGTGACTAGCCTCCTTACAGTTTCTTCAGCCCAGGCTAACGATTTGCTTTATAGGCAGGTGCAAACATTTTACACTTTGACCAAATGTCTATGAAGCGTTTTCCCGTGCCTCATCTCATTTTATCCTCACAGAAGTCCTGGAGTAGACAGATAGGAGACTCGGTAGAATCCTATTTTCTTTTCCTTAGCTGGAAAATGGAGATTTAGAAAGTTTAGAAACTTGACCTGACTGAAAAGAAGTAAGGAAGGGTAGAACTTGAAAATAACTCCAGATTTTCTCACTTTTGGTGGTGGTTCTTTTCCATCTCAGGATTATGGCTGAAGTTTTTCTATTATTTCTTATTTTATATATGAAGAAAAATTACTCATTTCTCTCTTTTTAAAGAACACATCACCTTATTTTGAAACACTTACATTTACAGGAAAGTTGAAGGGGCACATTCCTGTATTTTCCTGGAGTTCCAGCTTCCCCGATTGTTTACATCCCACATGTAGCCCTGGCACTTGATAGGAACCAGCAAATGGACACTATTAACACATCTAGACTTTCTTGGAGTGTCAGCAGTTTTCCTACGCTTGGCTTTTATCTGGTCCACAATCCAATCAGGGATGCCACATTGCTCCTTAGTCTTTGTTTGCTTTTTGTGACCTTCAAACTTTTTGAAGAGCACTGCTCGGGTGTTTCTAGAATGTTCCTCAGTTGGGTTTATCTGGTGTTTTCTCATGATCAGATTGAGGGTATGCGTTTTGGACAAGACTATCACAGAAGTGACAGTGGCCTCTCTCAGGAAAATGAATCAGTGGACCATAATATCGATAGATCATTACTACTGATGTTCATCTTGATCACTTGGTAAGGTGGTGTCTGCCAGGTATCCCCACTGGAAAATTACTATTTTTCCTGTTGAAATTAGTATGCATGTTGGGGGGAGTTACTTTGAAACCATGCAAGTGTTCCATTTTTGTCAAATTCTCCTTGTACTTCTGCTCACTGCAACAATTATTAATATCGTTTTTTATTTCTCCCCTTCAACATTAATTGTTTAAATTCTACTGTAGGTAAGAGCTTTTCTTTGTATTTATTTATTCAAATAATTATTCATATTAGTATGTGATCATTATTTTCATCTATGGAGTGAGAATCAATACCATCATTATTTATTTCCTTGCTCATATTGTCCCATCTTGTCCTTGGAGAGCACCTTTATGCTGACACCTTTTGGCATGCTCTCGTCATCATTTTTTTTCTTAGCATTTCATTACTTTCTGGCATTACAAAATGTTCCTATCTATCTTATATTTTAACTTTCCAATCATATATTTCTTCTTGGATCCCTGGTTCTTTTCTTTTCTCCACCCCGTTCTTTACTTCCTCCCTCCCTCTCTCCCCCTTTCTTTCCCTCCGTTCTTTCCTTCCCTCCATTGTTTCCTTCCTTCCTTCCTTCCTTCCTTCCTTCCTTCCTTCCTTCCTTCCTTCCTTTCTTCCTTCCTTTTTTCCTTTTTGAGAATGATATTTAGAAATAAATATCTGGGAGACTGGATGGTTATTGTTACTGGGATGTCATTGCTTCTGCCCTTCTCAACAGTCCAAGTTGGGAAACACACTCCCACACATTCAAAGTGATCACTAAATCCAAGCCCATCTAGACTTTCTCCTTTGTTATTGTTCAGTTTTATAGCTTCCTATTTTGCATTGGTGTCTATGATCCATTTTGAGTTAATTTTTGTGAAGCATGCAAGGTCTGTGTCTAGATTTGATGTTATTTCTTTTGGTAGATGTTCTTTATCAAGCTGAGGAAATGCCCTTCTAGTCCTAGTTGGCTGAGAGATTTTATCATGAATAAGTATTGGATTTTGTCGAATGCTTTTTCTGCATGTATGGTTATGATCATATGATTTTTTTTCCTTTAACATATTGATGGGAATAAGACATTAATTGATTTTAAAATGTTGAACCAACCTTGCATGTCTGGAATAAATCCCTGTTGGTTGTAAAAGCATAGTTCTTTATATATACTAAGAGATGCAATTTGCTAATATTTTTCAGAACCTTTGTC